CGCGAGAGACTGGAAATGCCGGCGCACGGAGGACGCGGCGACGAACAGGCGACAGGCGCCGACCGCGCGAAAACAAGGCGACCTAGGCGGCGACGGGCGCCCGACAAGCGAAAGCGGCTTAGCAAGAACTCCGCAGCGCGAGCACAATTCGGGGAACGAGCGGGTGCCGTTCTTGGCTTGCCCGTGGCCTTGTCCAAGCGAAGACGGAGCGCCTTCAGGCTCGCGGCGGCTTCGATGTTGAGTGGGGCGTTTTGCTTGGGAGTGTTGCGATCCGGAGGAGAGGGGGAAGTCGACAAGAGTACTGTACAACATGCGACTGTGGACTCCCATGGGTGAAGATTGCTGGGGGGATCGTTGAGCAGGGTGCTTCTGCACATTGGTGGATACGGTGTCCGAGCCTGATGGCAGCACGACGTACTCAATAAGATTGCTCACGCAAGCACACGCACATCGACGCCACCGTTCGCACCTTTCGAAGAAATCCGCATCTGCATCTCTGGTCTGGACAGACCGCGGAGTTAGACAGGACCTCTTGTGTTTGCTGGATGCCTCAATTCACTGTTGACCCCTGCAAGCGCTGCTGGACCAATGTTTCTTCAGCGCAGGAAGGATACCCGTGGGAGGTCGCCAGTGCAGAACGCACGCGCGTACAACGCTGGCTCGGGGCAATACACATTGACACAATCACCCAACACGGACCTGCACTGTCATGTCAAAGACGCGCTCGCGTTCTCGCGTCAGGGGGGTAACACGATGAGAGAAAGTGTGTGTGTGGGGGGGGGGCAAGTGGACGACCACTAATTTGAAGGGGGTGCCTTGTCCTGAAGCAGGCCAGCGCACGATGGCGTCAACAACGACGCCAACAGACATCGCTCGAAGCATGTCGCCCAGGCTGCGTCGCAGAGCCTCGGCGCCAGCATGCCCAGCTGCCTTGAAGGGACCCGTTGTCCCCACCGGCTGTGTAGAACCAGTGCGGGCCCTGCATTTGCCGGCGGGCGGGCCCTACTATGGACGGGCGGGCGGGTCTTTTACTCATGGCAGCGTGGCGACGCGCACCTCCACCCGGGCGTGGGCCCTGACGGCCCACGCCCGACGCGCGCGCGTGGGCCCTGACGGCCCACGCGCCTGCGTTCTGGCACGCCTGCGGCAGCTCGGCCCACGCAGGCGTCTGGGAGCAAAGCGGGGTGGGTGGGCACCCAACGGGCGACCACAGACGCAAACGGCCGAGTGGACAGGGGGGGGCCCGGGCACGGCGCAGGCGGGCGGGCGGAGCCCCCTGCGGGCCAGCGCGTCGGCCCTCCACGCGGGCGAGAGGAGGCGGAGGGGAGGCAGGGAGGATTGGGAATGGCATGGGTGAGCAAGGGCTTCTGTTAAGGGGAACTGGAACACACAAATAAATACACACAAATAAAAATATCCCCCATATTTTCCCATATTTCCTGGGTTTTTGTCTTCCCCGCCACTTCCCATATTTTTGCATATTTTCCTGGGAGTCGACGATTAATTGTGTCTGTGTGTTTCTTTCCCTCCTGATTCTGCTTCTCAGAGTGGTACGGGTGATGGAGGTGAAGGTGGTGGTCGTACGGTGGTGAGTGGGGTTCTGACAACAGGCACTGCGAACGCGGCCCTGAGCAGGCTGGAGCGGCGAGAATCACGGCTCTGTTACATGTTGTGTCGTGGCCCTAGGGGGATGTGTTGTGTCGTTGCCTTGGGGGGGGGTCAGGGGGCAGATTCTGGGAGGCCCTCGCAATAAGCGCATTTTAACGAGGTCGTAAGCGACCAAGCTGACTGAACATACATTATGCCCAGTACATGTAATAACATGAAGCGGGGGTCCGCTGGACTAGGCTGGAACTGCAGGAAAGATGTACCAGCCGCGACATTGAATCTAACCTCCCAGGAGTTGCAGCGCAGCTGGTGCGAACGTGTGCTAGTCAAACAGCGTTCGGAGGAGCTCGTTCTCCGCGGCCTTGTCCTGACTCCCTTTCCAAATCTGCTCCTGGCCTTGCCTCGCCCGCGCACGGCCTCGCCTCCCTCCCCTCGCGTCGGCATGCCGCCGCATGCCCTGCATTTATGGGAGCAAACGATGAAAACAACCTTCTGAGGCGGACGATTAAACGAATAGTTCCGCGGGCTTTCGCGCCACCGCAACAGCGGGGGGGCGGGGCAAGCAGACGGAGGCCGGACAATCCCGGGTTGTCCGGAAGCCCGGCGGGGGGGCGCGGGCTGACAATTCAGAGCGGGGGGGCGAGGGTCAATTCAGAGCCGGGCAGGCAAAAGCTGGGAAGGACTTTGCGGGCGGACGATTCGAATCCGCAGGGGCGAACAGTTCAAGGCCGCGAGGGCTGATTTTGGCCAACACACAGAATAGGAAGTAGAAATTTCTGATCCGCCAGTCCTGCGCGGAAGGCAAACATTCTGCGCCGCCTTCAGACAGCGACCTCCTTCCCACCTCCTTTTCCTATTTTCCTCCCCCTCCTTCTCCTCCACCTCGTCCTCCTCCTTCTTCTCCTCCTCCTCCTCCTCCTTCCCCTCATTGTTCTATCCATTGTCATCTTCTCCCTGCTAATTTTTGTTCCTCTACAGTTACTCAGCATGAATACCACTCCTCGTTCCTCCCTGATGCACTCTGGATGATTGCCTGCACCCCTCCGCGTATTGTGTTCTTGGTTACACGCAGGTTTGGCGCGAATCCGTTTCTTATAATTGTTTTTCAATCGGAACGTGTTCGGCTCTTCCAACATATTGTTCCCGCTGTTACTCTGGCCTCGTGTTCGTGCTTCCGCTCGGTTGCTCCCGCGGCAACGTTGGCCTCATTTTCAAGCTCCAACCGCCGCCCGCGAGGACGACAGTTGGGCCGTCCTCAGGTTTGCCCTTAAGTAGGGGATGAAACCAAACAAAGAACGGCATGAATGTAAACACTCGGCGGTCCTCCCTGGATTTCCTGGATCTGCGCTGGGACTCCCTAGCGCCGCTTCCAGCGCCCCCTCTCCGCAATCCTCCTTCCGCGGCCGCGGGTGATCAAACGAACGCAGGATGACGAATAGAAAATCAGCTTCCACAAGGCGGCAAAAGAAAACGCCGGGGGGCGGGAGACGATTAAAAACAGTTTCCGGCGGTTTTCTACCAGTCTGCCCCACTCATTCATGTTGGGGCCCCTGGGACGGCGTGGGGGGAGGGCATTGTCTTAACCGTTTGCCCCCACTGCGCATGTGCAAAGAGCTTCCTGGGCAGGGCGGTCCTCCGCTCATGCTTCACCTCTCCCTGCCGCCGTCGGCTGCGAGCTCCACGGCGCCGCCCTGGCTCTCAGGACGCGCCCTGCCCTCGCGGCGCCGCACGCGCGCGGCCTCCATCTGCTCACGCCAGCGCTCCTCCTCGCGAGCTCCCAGGGCCTCTCTGGACCGCTGGGCGCGCTTCTCCAGCGACCACAGGTACCAGAATGCCCCACAGAGCACGGCGGCCACAACCAGCAGGGGGAGCACCAACTCCAGCAGCACCTCCAGCGCGGAGCACAGCAGCCGCTCCGGGCGGGAGCGGTGCTTGGGCAGCGGCCAGGCCTCACCGATCCCGAGGCCTGCGCGCACAAAGCGGGCCCACGCGTCTACCGAGTAGAAGCCCGAGTACTTCTTGGACCGGTTGCCAGAGATCAAGACAAGCGTCGGATAGCCACGGATGCCCCACTCCGTGGCCACCCCGACCTCGGTCGTGGCGTCCACCTGCGCGATCCCCGCCTCGCCCTCCAGCTGCTGCGCGAGCAGCGCCCAGTCTTTCGCCATCGCCCTGCAGTGGCCACACCATGGAGCATAAAACTTGACAAACCATGGCTTGGGAATGCCTCCTGGGAGGAAGGCGAAACGGCATAACCACAACCTGTCGGATCCCCACTGCGGTGCCTTGGATCGGCGCTGGTCCCCCTCCCTGGCGCGCGGAGGAGGCCAGGTGCGGCTCCAGGGGCGCCGCCGGGGGAGCCTGGCGCAGATGCAACACATCCGCGCGGACCTCGGACAGATTATGCTTGTCTTGTTGCCTTCTTCGAGTCCTGCGACGCGGGCGTCGAAGTCTGCGTCTGTCAGCGATACCACCTCCCCCTCGAAAGCTTGACCAGCGAATCGGTGCACCCGCATCGCGAGTCAGATCCCTTGAAGACGGGGAGGGTGGTCAACTGCTGGGTGGGCGTGGCGGCCTGACCACCAGACCCGCTGCGCAGATCTGACCAGCAATGTAAAACGAACTGGCTCGGCTGTGTTTTCCAGGGGGGCGACCTCGCCGCGCGCCGAGCGCGGCAGCACGGCGGCTGCAACCGCCCAGGGCCCCAGGCGCGGCCGCATGCGGAGAGGCTGGGCACGCCTGGGGGCCGCAGGCGACGCCGGGGCTTGGGCTGCGGAGCACCTCGAGCCACGAGCCGTGCAACAAGGTCATCATTCCTTCCGTCCTCCGCCGACGTTCAGCAGCATCCGCGGCGGGTGGCCTCCGTCGTGCTTCTGGGCCACCGGGGGGCCGCTTCGGGCCCCCGGGCGCTCGCAGATCGACCCGGTCTGGGCGACCCTGCGCAGAGAAGATCCCGACGGCTCCAGAAAGACGCCGCCAGGGGAGCTCCTGGCAACAGCGGGACTTTGGGAGCACGACCGCGGTGGCACGACTCGTCCACGGAACACCATGAGCCCGAGAGCAACGATGAGAGGCTCCGAGACCGCAATGGTCTCCCCGCGGTCGGCCGACCCTACCCCCTCACCTTTCCATTCTGCCACTGCCCCTGCCTCTTGCCTCTTGCCTTCTGCCTGCCGCCCCCCCCCTCCAGCCCCCATTCCGCAAGTATCCTCCCTCCTCCACCTCGCCTCTCTCCTCATTATTCCTCGCTCCTCCCTCTTCCTTCCTCCCTCTTCCCTCTTCTCTCCCCCTTCCCCTTCTCCCGCCTCCTTCCTCCCCCGTCCTCCTCTTCCTCCACCTCGAGGGTTCTGCGAGCAGGGCGAGAATGCCGATCCTCGGGCCTGGGCAATGCTTGGGCGCAGGCAAAAGGACGAGGTGAACAACCAAAACAATGACTAATCACTCGTCAATCCCACCAACCCTTTGAGCGTTGGTGGTCTAACGGTTTTGGTCGTCTATGTTTCTAAAACCCTTCGTCCCCTTCGGGGAGGGGTTTCAGCCCTCACCCGACCCCCCCCCAGCGGCGTGGATGCGGGGGCCGCGATGGGTTAGAGCCTCAAGCGCTCAAGATGCTCGAGAATGGCCTCCAAGGTGGCTCAAGCTAGTAGGAGGATTGTTCAAGATGGCCTGAACCCGAAAGAAACTCAATGATGTATGCCTTCTCACCTTTTCGCTTCCGATGGGCTTCTGGGGCCTCAAGATGGCCCAAGAGAGCCCTGCGCGGGGCCCAAGATGCCCCCTAAGACGGACCCGATCGCGCCCAACAGCACTTCTGGGCCCTGGGACAACTCAAATGAGCCCCGCTAGGACCCTAGAACCTTGTGGAAGCCTCAAGGGGGCGCCGAGGGGAGCCAAACAAATCAATCACAGGATCCCCGGGATCACCGGACCCCAGGAGTCTCCAACAATCACAGGAATTCTCGTCCTCGTTTTCCTCTTCCTCCTCTGCAATTTCCTCGTTATCGTCCTCTTCCTCGTGTTCGTCATCGTCGTTGTCCTCCTCTTCCGCCTCCTCCTCATCCTCCTCCCTCTCATTGTCCTTCTGATCCTCCTCCTCCTCCTTCTCTTCCTCTTCCTCCTCCTCCCTCTCCTCGTCCTTCTCATCCTCCTCCCCCTTCTCCTCCTCCTCGTGCTCGTACTCGTCACCCTCGTCCTCCTTATCATCCTCGTCATCATTCTCGTTCTTGGCCTGGTCGTCACCCGTCCTCCTCCTCCGTTTCCTCCTCCTCCGTTTCCTCCTCCTCCTCCTCCGTTTCCTCCTCCTCCTCCTTATTCCCGCGGTCCCCAAGAACGGTCCCGAGATAGCCCCAAAATGACGAAAAGAAAGTGCCACGAATACCGAAACACGGATTCTTCGGGGCGATTGTTCCACAGCATGCTTCTATACTTCCATGATCAAGGCAACTCGCCTGTGGATCGCTTCTTGATGGGCAAGTGGGGGGACACGGGCAGCGACAATAATTGCACTCACTGACGCGGTCGCTGCTACGAAGAGCCGTATTTGTCCGTTTGTTCTCTCAGCCCTGGAGTGTGCTATAAGGGAACGAAGAATGACATAAACATAAAAACTGGATGTCCGCGCGGAGCGCGCCAGGGGCGGCGCCGGAGGCGCCGCCAGGGGGTCCAGCGCGGATCCGAGAAATCAGCGCGGACCTCCCAGTTTTTGTGTATGTCATTCTTCGTTCCCTTAGGCTCGGCGTCGCTGCGACAACGAACGACGGGAGTACCATTTTCGAGGGCGGACCTGTGAGGGGCGCGAACCGCCACCATCAGAGCGACTTGAAGGCGTGAGTGTGGCTGTCGTGGGTCTCTTGTGTTGCCCTGGCCGGGGGCTCCCCGTCGCCCTTGGTCGGGCCTGTGGCCGTGGCCGATGGTGGTCGGCGGCCCGCGGGCGCCCTGACCAGCGAGAGTGCAGGGCTGCTGACAAAATGTGACCTCGAGGAGCGGTTGCGGCTGAAGACTGTGACAGCTCTCCCCCCCCGAAAGGCCGTCTGCTATCTGCGCAGGCCTGAGTGCACCCACTGGGTGGCACTAGTGCCCTTCAGCCTCCCGAAGGGCATCTTGGCACTTGCCACTTGCGCTCGCTCACGTGGGCGTGGGGCAAGAAAAAGAGCGCAACGCTGCGGCGTTGCTGCGTGCCCAGAAGTGATGTGTGTGCAAGCAGCCAAATCGGAGAATCGTGCCGCTTCGCATGCGAGCAGCGGCTACACAGCGGGCGCCGTGAGAGGCTGAGTTCCGCGCGGCTCTCGTGAGGCCTCAGCCCGCGGACTGCATACATTACACTCCTTCCTTCTCCTCTGTCTCCGCCTCCTCCGCCTCCTCCTCTTCCTCCTCCTCCTCATCATCCTCGCCTTCTTCCTCTTCTTATTCGTATTCGTTTACTTAGGCGTAGTATTATCATTCTTATTGCGGTTATGATTATCACCCGCGTTTCTATTCTTATTATTAGTATTGAAAAATGATACTGTTCGTCTTCCTCTTCTTCGTCATCCTCCTCCGCCTCCTCGTCCTCGTCCTCGTCCTCGTCCTCGTCCTCGTCCTCCTCCTCCTCCTCCTCCTCCTCCTCCTCCTCCTCCTCCTCCTCCTCTCTCCTGTCTACCACATGTCCCTCCTCCCTCCGTCGTGGCAAACTCCCAAACCCGGCGCCAGCCCTTCCGCCTCTCTCTCAGCCTCGTACCCTCCCTGCCGACTGGAAGGGCATCGCACTCCCAGCCGCCCGCCCTCCTTGGAAACGGGATGGGGCCAGCACCGTAATGTAAGGAGGGCCGATGGCCTTTTAAGGCAAGTCGAAACCTTCAGAACGTGAGCGCGCCGCTGGGGCAGTCGTCGATCGATCGGTCAGAAACCCATGGATCGCCAGAAACCCTTGGGGAATCTGGCGACTGATGGCGTTCCCACACTTCGGCTGGGAGAATGATAAGACACCCATAGATCGCTGGAAATCCCTAGGGACTCTGGCGACCGATGGGTTTCCCATAATCCAGCTCTGAGAATTATGGGGAACCCGGTCGCCAGAACCCCCAGGGAATCCGGCGACCCATGGATTGCCCATGATTCGGTTGAAGACTTATGGGGAACCCATCGGTCGCCAGAAACCCTTAGGGAATCTGGCGATTTATGGGTTTCCTATAATTCGGCTGTGAGAACTGTAAGAAACCCACAAGCGGCCAGACTCCCTAAAGGTTTCTGACGAATTATGGGTTTCCTATAAGTCGGAACCTGGATCCAGTGATCCAGCTCGCCGCCGCAACCGCAGCCGCAACGGGGCAGTCGTCCATCTACGGGCTTCCCATACTTCGGCTGGGATAACTGAGGGGAGCCCATAGGTCGCGAGAGCACCCTAGAGAATATGGCGACCTATGGGTGTCCCATCATTCGGCTGCGAGAATTACGGGAAACCCATGGGTCGCCAGAAATTAAGGAATCTGGCGACCTTTGGGTTTCCTTTAATTCGGCTGGGAGGATTATAAGGAACCCATCGGTCGCCAGAACCCTCTCGGGAATCTGGCGACCGATGTGTTTCCCATACTTCGGCTGGGAGAATGATTGGGAAACCATATGTCGCCAGAACCCCCTGGGAATCTGGCGACCGATGGGTTTCCGATAATTCGGTCGCCAGACCCCCTAGGGAATCTGGCGACCTTACTTGGCTTCCCACAATTCGGCCAGGAGAATTATGGGAAACCCATGGGTCGCCAGAAACTCCTAGGGAATCTGGCGACCTTTGGGTTCCCCGCCAGATTACCGAAAGGCCTCTGGCGTCCTATGGGCTTTCCTTAATTCGCACAGCTTGCCTAGGGGTTTCTGGCGACCGATGGGTTTCCCATCATTCTCCCGGCCGAAGTATGGGAAACCCATCGGTCACCAGATTCCCTAGTTTCTGGCGACCTATGGGTCCCCCCATATTCTCTCAATCGAATCCTGGGAAACCCATCGGTCGCCAGAATCCCGAGGGGTTTCTGGCGACCTATAGATTTCCAATCCTTCTCCCAGCCGAATTATAGGAACCCCATAGGTCGCCAGATTCCCTACGGGCTTCTGGCGACCTATGGCTGTCCCATAATTCTCCCAGCCGAAGTATGGGAAACCCATAGGTCGCCAGATTCCCTGGTGGTTTCTGGCGGCGTATGGGTTTCCATGATTCGCCCAACCGAATGATGGGAAGCACATGGGTCGCGAGAGTCCTTGGGGGGTTCTGACGACCTGTGCGTTTCCCACAATTCGGAATTATGGGAAGCCCGTAGATGGACGACTGCCCCCGCGGCCGCGGCTGCGGCTGCGGTGGCGAGTGGGATCCAGGTTCCGAACTACGTCAAATCCATAGGTCGCCAGAACCACCTCTGGGGATCTGGCGACCTATAGGTTTCCCCGAATTCGCGGCGGCGAGCGGGGTCCAGGTTACGAATTATGGGAAGCCCATAGGTCGCCAGATTCCCTGGGGGGTTCTGGCGACCTATGGGCTTCCCATAAGTCTCCCAGCCGAGTTAGGGGAAACCCATAGGTCGCCAGATTCCCTAGGCGTTTCTGGCGACCGATGAGTTTCCCATAATTCCCCCAGCCAAATCATAGGAAACCCATCGGTCGCCAGATTCCCTGGGGGCTTTTGGCGACCTATGGGTTTCTTATACAGCTCCAAGCCGAAGTATAGGAAACCCATGGGTCGCTAGATTCCTTGCAGGCT